GTAAATAGCCTATGTATTCTACCAGACTATGTTGTACATCTATGCCAAATTTCATCGAGTTTCATTCAGCCGTTTAGGCTACAAACTCTAACAAACATCCATCCATCCAAACTTTCGCATTTATAATATTAGTAAGATTTTATCTAGTAGTCAATTTAACACGTTTCTTTACTTCGCTTTCGTAAAATATAAAAACACTAATCTTACCCGAAATATCCTACCGAAGAAATATTGTGTAATTTGTTGAACGTAGGCGATAGGATCGCTTCCCCTTACTAATGCTCGAGATAGAATCAAATCCAATGTTCCTTTATGCAAATACGACTTGAAATTACGCTTTCTGAATTTTATGCGATGAAGTTAAGTATTGTTTGTACAGTTGCCATAAAAGAGTTTCGTATAAAATATAGCCAGTTGTAATACCACCATTTGTGAGGAGGAAGTAAATTACGAATTTAATATTGTTGATAAATTTGCGGCCAGTCTCAATTTTACATGATTTGATTTTTTTTTTAATGAATTGGATATCACACCTTTAAATCTTACTGACATTATATATGCGAAAGTTTACATGGATATTTGTTAGTTTGTAGCCTAAACGGCTGAACGGATCTCGATATTTGCCTTAGACGTGGAGGTTTTATTTCTTCCCGGACGGAGTCAAGGGCAATAGCTAGTATACCCATAAGCTGTCAAGTTTTGTAATATAAAAATGGCTCATATAACAATGAAAGATTTGATTAAGGCTCCGATAGATATAGAGACACAGGTATCATCTCGACCCTCGTCAATTTACTAAAGGGTAGAAAGAATATTACGAAATATGTCACAAACATTCACATTATTGCATTTAAGTGTCTACAATACTATTCAAATAAGTGAGTACGTCCAGTCTATGACAGCAACAAAGAAAAATATGCGAAAAAGAACCGATTAATTTTAAGCAATAGTGGAATTCCAGAAAATTGAATCTCCATTGAAAATATTTAAATATGTTTAATGGAACACTAGCTTTTGTCTGCGAATTAAAAAAAAAACAGTAGTAACCAATGTGTTCTTCCAGATTACAGTTTACATTTATGTAAAATTTAACCGAAATCCGGTCAGCAGTTTAGGCTACAACATCTAACAATCATCCATCTATCCATCTAAACTTTCGCATTTACATACAGTTGGAAGTAAATCTTACTAATATTATAAATGCGAAAGTTTAGATGGATAGATGGATGGACGGATGGATGGATGTTCATCAGAGTTTGTAGCCTAAACGACTGAATGGATCTGCATTAACTTTGGCATATATCTAGAGCATAGTCTGGAAAAACGCATAGGCTACTTACTTTATATTTTCTTTAACTCCACGCGGACGGAGTCGCGGGCGAAAGCTAGTAAGATACAATATGAAAGTAAGTAAGATGGAAAACTTTAGTTAAGTTTTAAATTTTATTAGTGTTCATAATGCTTAAAGAAGAAAATACACACAACAAGAAGTACAAAATTCATAAATCTGTAAGTAGTCTACGGCAAAAAAAAAACGATTTATTTATTTACAAGGGCACCGAAGCATCCAAGTTGCCCTCGGCATTCGATAGACTTAGCCAGTGATAATAAAATTTAAAAGGGCAAACTTCGGGCTTCTACGGAATGGAATGAAAAGTGATTTGCCTAATCCAATTTTCAATTTTTCGATTCACTGGCTTTCTGGATTTAAAGTCTGTCTCACTCTGTCCCATTCAAAACTTGTGACTAAATTACTATTTACTTTATTTTGTACTTAATTTATTTATATAAAATTTTAATATATGTATATACATTTCAATCAACTTTATTTATAAATACTTAATAGAAAATATTTGTCTAACGAAAATCAAACTAAATCTAAGCCGATTTTCCCACGATACCAAACAGTTTTTTACTGTTACCTGTAACCGGGACTCCGCCCAAGCGGAATGAAGGTATTAAAAAGAATGTAGTCTATGTGTTCTTCCAGACTATGTTCTACATCTATGCCGAATTTCACCGAGATCTGTTCACAAGTTTAGATAAACTCCTACAAACCATCCGACCATCTAAGCTTTGGCGTTTATAATATAATTTTCAAGAAAGTATAACCAGTTATATACCGGAAGAACTAATATGGATTCACATCGTCATCATATTCTTAATATTAATTACAGACATAAAAATGATTAATGCTCGGAATGTGGAGACAATGGTGAAGATTCCGTATTTATGAGACAGCACCAATATTTGTCATAAAGACTAATAGATGTTTGTTCTTGTCTCGTTCTTTCATTCGATGCATTAACAATCCTTTTATACAACCTAACAATCATTAGTAACATCCTGTATAACAACTCCATAAAGAACCACTTTAGATGTTTATGTTCATCCAAAAGGTACATAAGACCGCTTTTCCATCCACACTATCTCGATGGCTGTCAATCTCCTTGCTATTTATGCCGAAACTTTCTGCCTCGCACACCTGCGCTGCGAAATGATCAGCCCACGGCTGTATTTTTCAATCGCTACCATTTAAGGTCTACCACTACCACTTATGGTCCTTCAAGAAGCGTAGCACCTTAAAGGCCAGCAACCGAATTATAGTCCGTATATTGCGGATGTCCATTGTCGTCGATGAGACCTCGCTGTTCCCGCCGTTCGTTTTCCCCCTTTCTTTTATAAATAAATGCTTTAAGTAACTGGTTTGGTATAGATTTGTTTTATTTTAAAATATACTGTCTTCTATAAGAGAAGGCACTGTTTTGTTGCGTATAGTACTTACATTTTTCACGTCGTTGGGTGCTTTCCATTGGAACGATCGACTTATTCTACGATACGATTGAACAGTAGGCTGTATAGTCTAATGGGAATAACTCTCACATCGTCGATATCTCAAAGTTGCTTGTTCTACTACTTATTCCCTGATATAATACTGTTTGGATTCTGACAACTTTGATCACTTTACCTAGAATTTGAACATTAGCCAACTATTTTGTTGGCTGTACACACGAGGCTATTATCATACGGTACCTTTATAACGTAAACAGTAGTCAAAAGTAAACGAAAATTAGATCATAAATACATAATCTTGTTGTACAAGTCTTCGAAGTTTGTATTCCGATGGGAACAAATGAATTTGACAAATGACAAATGGGCAAACTCGAGGGGGGCAGAGTGGGCAAGTTATGGTGACAGATGACCGTCGGGCAAACACTCGGCAAATGCTTTGGTGCCGATACCGCTCGTTACTCATGCGACCCCCTTCGATTAATTACACTGCTGTCAGATTTTTTTGTTCGATTGTTATTCGGGTAACCTTACAGGGTCAGAATATCTTAAAGATTTTTTTGTGTACTTTTTTAGTTGATTACTACATTTAAAAGGCTTAAGTTAAATCTTTTTTAGTTCAAGTTATAATTATAAATGAATTTCTAAGAAAGTATATATTACAAGCCTTTTCTGAATTCTAGATATATTCCTGAAGAAGTATCTACGGGACTTTTTTCATATATACTTAGTTTTTTTTTTTAATTCTACGCGCAACTGTACTCAGCGGAGAGATACTCAAATCAAGGATTAGATTTCAATCAAAGCCATACAAAGATAAAACCATCGGTTTTTATTATTTTTTATACACTCTTCTCATTTAGATTCTTAGTTCGAAATAATTCGCATTTTTAATTAGGTTTTAATCGTATTTTGTACAATAAAAAAATGAAATAAAACATCATGGGCCTGTCATAAAAACCATCAATATATTTACTCAATGTCTATTTACATATTTACATATAGCCTTATATTTAGCATAATTGATAAATTGATTACTTCTATTTACACCACATGGAACCACATATCATGAGATCAAAATAATAATATAGTTAGTTAACCAAAAGTACATTATTTTAACACAATGCTGATTATTCTAAAACATTTAGACATCTACATATGTAAAAAATTGAAGTGTCTGTTTGTAATATCAAAAGAAACATTCCAGATTTCGGGAAGATGATGTATTTGCGTAGCTGGTAACGAAAATCATATTAAAAAAAATGTCTGTATGTCCGCAATCTCCGAAACGGCTAGGCCGATTTTGTGGGGACTTTCACTGAAGGGTAGCTGACATCGATGGGCGTATTATAGGCTACTTTTTTAATTCCCCGCTGTCAAAATGGCGTAAGAGGTGGTCCAAATTTGCGCTAACCAAGTTTAAGACAGCTACAGACATATAAATGAGAATCGGAAGAATTTACAGAAGCAAATAATTTATATCCGTAAAGAGTATAAGAATTCATTTATAACTAAAAACCTTTATCGCTATATTTCTTATATTTTGTAGTCAGGGGTTAATATCGCCCTTTATTTAATAAAACACCTTAGTTTGAACAAATATGACTAGAATTTGGATCATCAATCGGTTTTACAAGGATATCACACAATAAATTGAACAGGTTACATTTTAAATTACCTAAACTTGAACTAAACAAAAAATATAAACTACCACAGCTCATTTAGAAAGAATATTTAGGGAAAATTAAGTGTAGGGAATATTCGAAGCTAAGACTTACCAAAAGTTTGGACTAGCCATTTAATATTCAGAAGCCAGGGTTTTTAGAGTGTATAATTTCTTAATTTGTCGGCTTTAAATTTATTATTTTATTTTCAACAAAGGAGAATTGATCAGACCTAATTTTACAATACTTCATAAGGAAAATCAGAAATAAATAACATAATTTTATTCGTGTTATCAGTACTATTAAACTCAATATTTAAATAAACATAAAACACATCATAATTCATTCAAATTCCTTTAATTGTTGTACAAAAGGTCACCTCTATATTTTACTCATAAACGAGGTTTAGGCTTAGCGCCATCGACGCTCGGCCACCTCAAGCCTCTCCAAGGCAAACAGTGGCCATTCAGTCACAAAAAAAATCTATTTATATTTTAACAACAAAATGTACTAAAAAAATATCAGTCCATTAATAGCATAAGCAAATAAAAGTCATCTAACCTTGAAATTATTGTACAAAAATTAACGTATCGTTTTTTTATCTATATTTAAAACAACTACATATCAGTCAGTGGTGTAATTAACGTATTATTTAAATGCTATGTTGGTTCTTCTATATCCGTTACAGTATTTCTCATTTCAACGTTTTCGATTGGCGTCACTTTTAACTTCGTTGAAGATGTTGCGAGCTTCACCAAGTCCTCATCGACTGTGGTTAGTTGGGAATACATTGTTTTTGGAAACAATGTTAGATGTTTTTTATTCCTTGTTCTTAGCTACAACAGAAATCTTCTCTTATTAATTAAATTTATTTAGATTAAATGAAAAGTTATTTAACGTAAAAATACTTTAAACAATATATTAGATTTTTTGTAGACAATCATTAATGATACGTGTATTTTATTTTAACATTTCTTTCATTTTTAATTTTTAAATAAATCTATCTTTTAATTAGATATTCGTTTTTAATGACAATTTGTTCAATATTTTGTTCTGCAATTAAGACTTAATTTGCATTAATTTTGATTATCTATTATACAAAAAAAAAATTCGCTTTTCAGAATAACCACGAGACTTATAAACATTTCTTACCATTATGACAAGTATAGTGGCGACAACAACGCCTACAGTTGCACCCACGCACCACGCTAACACTAGATCTCGATCCAACTGTAGAATACTAGGCGGGTCCTTCGCATCATCAACATAGAAAGATGCAGTCAAATGAGTTCTAATATTTTCTGCAATGCGACGTTTCCCAGCTGAAGTACCATTTAAACAGCCGCCTAAAAAGAAGCATTTTAAATCTATATACAAATATTAAAAAATATTATGCAATAACAAAACGATCAAATACTCAACAACAGCCCAGCTACAATTAACCATTCCTTACTATTTTTGGTTCGATAACTATATGTTGCGTTTCCGAACCACGCCCCTTTTTTACTCTCTTAAAACTTAGGTTAACTTACCACTAATGACTATGTAATGATAAAACAAATGGAAACTTTATCAGCCTAGTACTAGTCCAGTAGATTTCTGTTATTTTATGTTCTTACTTACCAATATCTTTGTGACAATGACAACAGTCCATTGTTTCGTTTATCATTAGAAACATGGATGAAACGTTTTCCATACAGCACGGTAAGCACTTATGATTTACTCTGTAAACAAGATTGAAATTAAAATCTTTACAAACAACCCTTCAGTAATTCTAAAACTCGTCTTCATTTGTTTGAACCAAATTTTACACATACCAGAACAAATTCCTTTAGGCTTAAACTATTGATAACAATATAGGTGAACTAAATTCATCTGTATTTAGTAAACTAAGATTTAATGGAATGCGAATACAGAATTCAATATCAAATTGAAACCACAAATCATTGCTTTGGGGTATGTCTTACCGCAGAGACAATATCCCTTGATGTTAATACATTTACAGTACACGATATGCATATATATCTTACTAAAGTACGCTTAACAATTAAGAATATTAATAGTTAACTAACATACAATGTTACTTAAATTTATAACAATTAAATTCAAAGAAACAGTGAAAATAATCTTACCTATCTAATCTCAGTGGATGAGCGCATGTAACACAGCTCGTAGGTCCCGGTCCAGAACAAGACCGACAAGACTCATGACAGGGACGACAAGTTCTAGACCTTGGCTCATAGAACTGAGAGCTGAGACATTCGATACATAAACCGTTCTCTAAAGAAAAGTGACGAGGACACGATGTACAACGCTGGGGACCTGCTCCATGACAGTCTTGACAGTAATGATGACAACGCCGACAGCTCTCCCCCCACGTAAAGAAGTTCTGAGGACATTCCGGTCTACATTCACCAGCCGCTAGTCTCCAATCTGGAGGACAAGACGCGCACTGATCCCTTCTCGGACCAGTACAAGTCTGGCATGAGAGATAACATTTGGAACAAATCCCATCATCAGGGTAGTATCCTGCTGCGCAAATTCCTCTACAAGTTCCCGATTGTAATCTTAAAGAACCAGCACAAGATGTACAGTTCAGTCTTGATACGCACGCAGAGCATGTATGCGGACATTTAGAACATCTACCAGCTGTTTGATAAAATCCTTGTCCACATTCTGCCACGCATCTGTAATTAGACGAGTCGTTAAGGAAAAGTTTATGAGTAAAAAGATAAGTTTGTGTGACAAGGGATCTTACCTAGTACCTTGAAGTAGTAAAGGACTGGAGCACGACAAACAATCCCATTCATTCGGTCCGCTACATTTCTCACAAGTGGAATGGCAATTTTTGCAGCGACCGCCTTCGAAGTATTCGCCTATGAGAAAAGTTTTTCTTTTATTAATAAATCTATTGTCATTGCGTTCTAGTATCGTAGTCTAAGTTTTAAGCTATCTATTGTGCTATCATTTTACTACTATCTGTTGCTCGCGACTTTGTCCTCGTCAATTAAAAAATAAGCTTATGTTATTCAGCGATAATGTAGCTTTTTAATAGCGTAAGAATATTTGAAATCGGTATAGTAGTTTTTGATTTATTTCAATACATACAGAAATACAAATCTTTCCTCTTTATAATATTAGTATAGAATTGTTAATGGAGTAATTGAAGTAGAATTAATAACAGTGGAATCAAGTCAATTTTACTTACTAGTGTCACATTTATTACTACCATCAGGGAGACATTTCCCTCCCTTAGATAATGCCCATTTTTCTTTGCAAAGTGTACATACTGTATACGAACATACCGCGCATCCTGTAGAACATCTAAAAAGATACACATAAATGTTATTATTTAATAACAAGTGATACAAATTGCATTATTAATACTTACGGTAAACATTCCCTTCTTTGAATATCTGGATAGAATCCAACTGCACATTGTGGAACACAACGATTTTTGTATGCAAAATCTCCAATACGGCAGGAAACGCATTGAGTAGCATTAGGTCCGCTACAAGATTCGCAACTTTCGTGACATTGAACACATCCAAAATCATCCTTTTGATAAGTTCCAGGTGGACAGGACGCTAAGCATGATCCATTAAAAAGAACGTAACTATGAGCACACGACGAACATAAATCCGCTTTATCCGCACATGTGTCACAATGTTCAGCACAAGGGAAGCAAGCATTAGCATCAGGGTCTTCGTAGTAACCGTCCGGACACTGTTGTAAGCATACTGCTAGATCGGTTACCAGTAAATGAGCTGGTGCACAAGTTAAACAAGAATCTTGACCAGCACCAGCGCAAGTTTCACACGACTCATGGCAAGGCCAGCATACCCCACCTTGGTTAACGAAACTTCTGGGTGGACATCTTGATACACATGAATTGTCTAATCGATAATGTTTACAAGCAACACATTGTGTAGGACCTTTCCCATAGCATCCTTGAGAATCGCATTCAGGATCACACATTCTTTGTACTTGTTTATCATTCGCGTCTGCCAGTACATTTTTACGCTGTGCTGACGGAATGTTATTACTATTACTTCTCCTATCAGAAAGGCCTAATTCAATCTCATTTAAAAATTGTGAATATTCTGAAGCATCGTACACATCGTTTAAGTGATAGTTCTTTTGATTCTCAAACAAATTATTGGAATTAAAATAGCTCTTGTTGCGTACTCTTACTGGATTTGTTGCTGTACCATAGAATATTAGCTGCCACTTCTTAAGCACGCCAATTTGAGTGACGTGATTGTTCCCGGCGTTTATAATTTGCAAAGTCCATCTGCCTTCGGCATTCTCTCCCCAAAAGTGTACGCTTAAAAACGGCCAGTCATCGAAATTGGAACTCGTTGCATCGTGTGTTCTTTCAAATAAAAGAGTAGAAGTGGTTCCCATGGGTGATGTTAGTAAAATTCTTAAATTTCCCCTCGGAAAGAAACTTAACGATATTTTACACTGAACATGTTCCAAATATCTCACTTCATTCATTGTTCCACTGCAACCATTTACATCCATATGTACAGATATCGTATAACCAAAGGAGGTCTCAATTGATTTGTCTTCGTTTATCTCCTGAGACTTACAAATATGCTGTGGAGGAACATTTACCCATTGTTCAGCCAATGATACTATTTGAGCAGCATCCATTAGACCATATCCAAATTTATGGCTCACTTTTCTTTTCACACCATTTACAATCCAACCTTCCTCTTTCTCTAAAGGTTGTGACCTAGATGTCATAACAATAAGGTGTTGCATGTCTCTCCAAGTTATAAGAGGATTTGCTTCTAAAGCTAAAGCACATATTCCCGCAGCTAAAGGCGCGGATGCAGACGTACCAGTGTGGTCTACCGTACAAATATGATCTGGCCTTAACTGTACATCCATATCTACGGTTGCGACACTCTTGTCTCTTCCTGGCGTCCCAGAACTATAAGTCGATGCTAATGTAGATGAACATTCTTCTAAATACCAAGGCTTATATCCGCCTTGTGTTGCACTCGATATCGAAATGGTAAATATACTATTCGCATATCCATCACAATTACAAGAATCAGTATGCCTTCCTCCATTACCAGAAGCCCATATAAAAATAGAACCTTTTCCTCCTCTTCCATTTGTCACACCATTAATAAAAGCTCTAGAACAAATATTAATTTATTATCCAACTTATTAAACAAATTTACTCTTAATTGAAAATAGTTTAATTTAATTTACCTTCTAGCTAATGGACCAGGACCATCAACAGTCTTTCCGTCATCCTCGGGTCCCCAAGAGGCACTATAAATATCTATATGATGAGTATTAAAACCGAGTGCCTGAGCTTCGACAGCGTCATTTACTAAGCCGTCTAACATTCTAACGCCTCCTATACTAGCGTTGTATGCAATACCAACGCCACAATATCGATTGTAAGCAACAGCCGCCACTTCTCCGGCACACCGAGTACCGTGTTTATTATCACCATTGTCTTGCGGCGTCGGATCTGTATCGTTACCATTTATATCAGTAGAAGCTGCTGGATCCTACAATAGAGTATAAATTCCATTGATAATTTTGCAAACTTTAAAAAACATAACCTTAAAATGTTTAGAGTACTTCACAAAGTATGTGCTATAAATAAATTGTGACCGCTTCTATACATAAAATTGGAATAAAAAATATGAGATATTAAAATGACTTACATAGTTCTGTATTAAATCCGGATGATTAGGTTGTATGCCGTCGTCTAATATTGTTATAACGACCCCTTTTCCCGTGTATCCTTTTCTCCAAGCGTAACCTACATTCATATCTAAACCTCCCGCTGCGCCGCCATTCTACATTCATACAAAACAATGAATAAATCTGGGAAATTTACTACTGCGTATAAAAAATAATACTAAAAATCGTATAACATATGGAAAGAAATAGTTGGATTGTGAGTGAGGTGATATGATTAAGACTGAAGATATCTGAAGACCGAAAACGTTGATGCCAGACCTCACATAAGTTTGACGATTTTTTTACAACTATTATATTCTTACCAAATACCATTGTTCTTTGAACAACGGGTCTGGGAAGGAAGGTGCGTTGGATTGCCGTATTATTTGACGCGGCTTCCATTGGTGGTCCCTTTTGGTTCTTCTCAACTCTCGTTGTTGCATCACCCATCTCACCTGTTAATAAATATCTAGACATTTCAACTATATAACAATTATAATTTTAATAACCGTAAACTGCAGTACAACCAACAAAGAAAGTTATTTGTTTATATTTAAGATTTAATTAGAAGACTTGGAATTAAATACTTATGTACTTAATTTCAAATTCACCATGACGTATAAATAACTACTTTTCAATGAAAAAATATTTATCTGCATCTACAGTATGTGTTAAAATGTAAAACTTAACTGACGCAACGTATCACATCACTTTACACAGAATTTTCTCCGACACATGAGGATTATCCTCGGCAACATTTCGAATGTTACGAAAGCTTGTGAAACGTGGACTAAAATCTATTTTCATGCTTTTATTTAATACGTAAAAATTTAATCATTCTATTCCAACTCTTATAAAACACATTTTATATTCGACTAGCTGTTGCCCGCGACTTCGTGCGCGTGATATTAAAAATACGGACTATATAAATAACACAAAGCTACCTTTCCCTCGGGAACCGGACATTTCTCGGAGATGAACTTTATCCCATGTGTACTCCAGACTTTGTTTTATGTCTGTGCCGAATTTCAATAAGATATATTGAACCGTTGCAGAATGAGTAAATGTTAGAAAAGTAAATTAATAAATGATAAAAAGTAGCCTATGTGTTCTTCCAGGCTACGCTCTAAACCTGTGCCAAATATCAAGGAGATCCGTTTAGCCGTTTAGGCTACAAACGCTAACAAACATCCATCCGTCAATCGTAACTTTCGCACTTATCATAATTTTATAATTACGTTACTAGTTCTAGCCCCTGACTACATCGAGGTGTTCTTCCAGACTTTTCTCTACGTCTATGCCAAATTTCATCGAGATTCGTGCAGCAATGTAGGCGGCAACCTCTAACAAACATCCATCTAAACTTTCGCATTTATAATATTCGTAAGATGAAATACATTCAAATGACGACTAACCTTTAGTACGACCTATAAACTATTCAACTTCAAGACATTTTGATTTAATAAAATAATAAATCATTCGCGTAGGATAATTTGTTAAGGAATCGGGGTGTCGACCTTGTGACTCTCTTATTGTTTTCTCGTGATTAATTGTACTGGTGAAATCTAAGATTTTATATAAATTATTGTACACGAGCTGTTGCCCGCGACTTCGTCTGCGTGGTATTAGAAAACATACAAACTATGTAAATTACAAAAAGCTACGTATCCCTCGGGAAGCGGACAGTTCTCGGGGATGAAGCTTATCCCATGTGTACTCCAGACTTTGTTTTATATCTGTGCCAAATTTCAATAAGATATGTTGAATCAATGCAGAATGATCAAGTAAACATTAATAAACGAAAATAATGAATCCCACGGGAACCGTAACTATTCCTGAGATAAAAAGTAGCCTATGTGTTCTTCCAGACTATGCTCTAAACCTTAGCCAAATTTCATGGAGATCCATTCAGCCGTTTAGGCTACAAACGCTAACAAACATCCATCCATCCATCTATCTATCCATCCATCTATCCATCTAAACTTTCGCATTTATAATATTAGTAAGATAAGATATATATTAGACAGACAGGACTGAGCAAGCTGGCGGCGTACTGTGGACGCCTGCCCCACTTTGGGGACATAGGAAAAGAAAGAAGAAAGAAGAAGAATATATCAGAGATCGTTGAACTATTTAAAAACTGTGATAATCCTAAAATCGTTGAACAACATAATAATTACATATATTATGTTAAAGGCGGCAGAGATTTTTCTATTCTTTCAGTTCGTGCGGTACCGGGTGTAACACACCCTGTATACCATATAAACATTTCTTATTCACACTGTAAGCGAGATACACCAGGTGCTTTAGACCTGGTTTAGCATTCAACGTGTTACATGATAAACTTAACACGATAAACTAATGTTAATTTATCTTGATTCTGTTTATAATATTAACGCAAATATTACTCTTTTTAGTTTGAAGCAAATAAACAACAAATCAAATTAAAAAAGGGCCCCCATAAAAATTTACAACCCATCTTTATTCCTGCCGTAACGTCCTAACTTAAATTGAATATTACGAAGTCGAAATTCATGCTTAAATCATAATTTTAGGGTTGGTGATGTGATAACTCTTCCGAAGGTAACTTGGAACATTTTCAGAGCAGTTATTTGTTTTCATTAACGGAATCATCGGTGTTAACAATTAAGAAAGAAAAGCTAGGAATAATAAATTACAATGTTCTTGGCAAGCAGACTTTGTAAGTTTTAGCAGTCTTATATGTAATTTAGTAGAGTTGAACAAAGTGCTCTGTACGAAAGTCATGTTGGATTTTAATTATTTTTATACTAACAAGCAGTAGAACAAGATATTCTTATTAAAGCGATTTAAGTTCTTGCTTAATCTTAACTTGGCAATAATAAATTGTTTTATTAGATTTTTACTGTGCCTTTATTGTCATTGAAGTTTCAAGGTCATGCTACTTCTGAGGTCAATGTTTTACAAGAAAGAGAAGGAATATACCAACACCGGTGAAACAAAAAGAGTGCAGTGTATGTATGTTACTTCTGTTTGTGGACTACCATCATAATAGATTACTTTACGTCAGAGTGAAGCATTCTAATCATTGCTTATAATTTTCAGGATACTACTTAGCTTTTGCCTGTGACTCCGTACACATGGAAATAAAAAGTAGTCCATGTGTTCTTTTAGACAATTCTCTACATCTATGCCAAATTTCATCGAGATCCGGTCAGCCGTTTAGGCTGCAAACTCTAACAAACATTTATCCATCCGTCTAAACTTTCGCATTTATAGTATTAGTAAAAAGTAAGATTACTAATGGCCGGTTTCCCAGCTACGTTTAACTATTTGTTAGTGATTGATTCGATAACTTCATGAAATTCTTTTTTCAAAATAAGTAACTTGAGTTTTACTCCGTTGAAACATAGGTCAATCTAACGCTAGTGTCTCAATAGGTAATATTAAAATAAAGGGAAACTTTAGAAACCCAGCACAAATGCAATGAAAATGAATAAACTTACCTGTGGGTCATTTTTTAATCGATTCATATAATCATAACTTGCATTTATAGACCTCTTACTAATTTGTGGATGTGAAAACAGAAAAAAGTTCTTTAAACTTCCAATCTGAAACAAAAGAAAAATATATTAACAGAGAAGCAGAATTTAATCATTTCAAAGTTACTGAGGGTTACTAAATATAACTTAGTTTAAATCCATTCATAAATCTAAACATTTCTAGAAATTTACATCGTAAAAACAAACTGACGTTCGTAGTCATAATTACGATAATACCCGCCATCTGTCGACCGCAAACCGTAACTACAGTTTAATGTTTTACATTAAAATCAAGCAGAGTACATACATAATTATCAATGAAATTGTAAATTAATCTACAACCCGTGAAATGAAAAAAATATTCAAAATATAGCCTATGTTACTCACAGATAAATTTCCTTTCTGATGGTGAAACCAATACATACAAAAATTCAAATCTTTACTCTCTATAATATTAGTACAGATTATGTAATTAGTCAGTGAAACTTATATTAAATTAAACTTAAAAACACTCTGTACAGCTTTAAATAACTTAGTTTGTATTTAATTTACATATTGTGATGAAAAATAATCAAAATTCATAACGAAATTGGCTTACGTCCTCAACGACAACACCGCGCACGAAGTAGAGAAAATTAAACAACAACAAATTATCGAGGCACCATAACTGTACAGAAAAAGCTATAAAAATACAAAAACCAAACAGTTTTTTTTTATATCATAGGTGACAAACGAGCAAGCGGCCACCAAAATCCGCAAAAATGGCGAAGCGACCGCTGCCCATAGACATCCGCAATTGAATATGCATTGTCTACCCTTATCCGACGACGGAAGACACACACATAAAGAGGATATTTCCCTTTCCTATGCGTCTCCTCCACAGTCAAATCCACTTCCCCTTCCCACCCTCTCCTTATAAAAAAGAGTGGTAAAAAGACACACACCCTCATCAGACGAAACACGGAATTGCTTCACTTCACGTCTGTCTTCCGCGTGCTCGTGGTATTACACCGGGCGAGCCGGCCTATTCGTGATAAGATGTTAAAGAGGGCACTACCACTGTTGCAAGCTAAAAAGCAACGCAGGAATTATTTAGTACCCTCCTATGCTGATCTTCCTATTGCCAGACCTTTCATATTTGTCTATTCTCTGTCATCATCATCATCACCCTTACCTTATCCTACTCCCGCAGCTTTACCGTGCTATACCGTGCTTTCGTCCTCCAAGTAACTCTATCGTCATCTGTTTATTCTCTGTATGGAAATTAATATTACAAACATACAATTAACCGTATTGTTATCAATTTACCCAACTAGAATATTCAATATGTATAAAAACACTCACGCCAACAACATAGAAGGTAGACAGAGACTAAAACTTTGCATGTAATACGATCCTCTCACGTTTATTCCTCATTTATACATGCTCGAGTATTCACTATCGGTTACGAGTCCTTTTTATACGATCTTTATTATAGGAGATAATCGTTAGTATTCGGTTAATGTTATTAGATGAATAAAGTAACTATAAATTTTCCTAATAATTCGGTAATACTAAACTCCGACTTTCGTTCAGATAAAACTGGTATAAAATGACAAAAACTATGCCGTTCTAGATAAAACGGATAGAAGAATCGAAAGAAAGAATTCACCGAAATGTCGATTAGGTAAGCGGCGAATTCTCCTCCCATTGGGTGCGAACATTTCGCAAATCATTGCCGCTTTTTAAAATGGAACATGTAAATTTTGATAGACATCATGTTTAATTTATTATTTAGGTATTCCATTACATTAAGGTATCGACTGATCGATGATACACGGTGTAATGTAACATGTTACATAGCGAACATTTTTTTCTACATAAATAAACTAGCGCTTGACCACGATACCATCTAAGCTAAGCGAAGACATTTATGTCAATCAGTTTGTTACGCAGAAAATTTACAAATGTAATATAACGACATGCGTGTAACATTACACCGCGTAACATCGGTCATACATTTCACACTAATAGAACGTAACATATCTTTATAACTAGTAGAATTAAAAAATGTAAACGAAATAAATATAATTCCGAGAAGAATATGGAACGAGAGATACATCAATCATAATCGCTAGACAAATACGAAAGATTCTAAGTAAAACTTTACCTAATAATCAAGTAGAAATCATACAACTTGTTAAGTGTGACTTGAACAAAGATGATATAAATGACGAGGTCAACCAGCACTCGGATACATCACAATCCATCAATTACTGTGCCCTTGCGACCCTCTTTCGTGCATGATTTATTTTAGGAAAGCAAACAAACAATGACAATAATGGATCGACAAACTAAAACTTTACCGTAATATTACTTACTAGCTGTTCCCGTGTGGCTTCATCCGCATGAAATTATAAACTCTTTATTTCATTATTTACATTTGTCAAATTCTCAATTGCTAATCAACATTACTGTTACCATAATAACCTTGCTTCCTTAATGTTGGTAGCTTGTAGTTTATGGTCTCTTTCCCACATGAGGGTTTTTCCAATTCATTTAAACCCTAAGTTTAATAGCGTCAAAATATAAAGCCTTAAGCGTGTCGTAAATGTGGCGCTTTTTATTAAATAAAGAGTTATTTAAGAATATGCTCTGATTGCTGACATCTTACGCCACAAAGTAGTGTGTGTTAATAATGATAAGTGTTTCTTAACTAAGTTTTCTTTACAGTTTAAAACAATAAGCACAACTCATTCATATACCTTTTACCTCACTCTGTCGGGAAAAATATTTTATCAAAAAAAATTATCCAAATCGATGGTACAAATATCAATTGTACGAATATCATTTAATAAGAAAATTTTGTGATAGTTTTGAAGAACTCTTGACATAAGCTTAATCTTACATACAATTTAGTAAATAAACAATTTAGCGTTGTATTACACTGACATCAACTTTTCTACGCTAAAAGCCAACTCTTGACGCAGCTTGCCAAATGCGTCCCTGCCAATTTCTTTGTATAATCACCAGCCCATTACTCTAGTGACCGTTTTGAGTGGGTATGCTATTCCAGCATTCATTTTCATTTTCCTGCAATTTTCCTTAAGTATATTGTTCCTTTTACGAACTCGATGACTTCGCTCGTTGTCGTTGAAATATAAAGTAGAAAGATAAGTAGATATATTCATTATCTTTGTTTCCCTCGCTTCTTTATCTTAACAGATGTCGCTTGTCATTTGTTTAAACGTGTTACTTCGACAGATGTTACGAAGTGTAATGTTACGTGTAACATTTGCATCAAGATGCTCGTTGTTCTCTGGTTTCCCCGTAACACTACACAAGTACAACGTAAATGTTAGCCGTGTAACATATTACATTACATCGCGTAACATCGGTATATCCGCAGCTTTAAATAACCCTTTGATTTATGTAAATTATCGAAATAAACATTTTCTTCAAAACAAATGTTATCTTCCGTAATATTTTTCAAAATAACAATTTTCTGTAACCATAGTTAATCTTCCATTTCACAATCACTTCATAAAAGAAACCCTTTTAGTACATAATTTCTATACAGAGAATATGGCATATGTGCAAAAACTGTTTCATATTGAAATTTGCTATGTGAGAACAAGCGGTGTCCCTTCATAAGACAAAAGCGACCGATATTGCATTCCATATAAATGCCCTATATGTCATTTTGTCGAAACAATATCAATTTCAAACAACTGACAGGTAGGACAATTTACAAAAACGAAACAATTCTATTCCCACTTTTCCCTTTTCCTAAGATGAAAGGATTAGCAAGGAAAAGTGGATTTGACGGTGGAGGAGACACATAGGTAGGGGAAATATCCTCTTTATGTGTGTCTCCTTCTACATCAATTAAGGGTAGGTAACGCATCTGCAATTCGGATGTTTATGGGCAGCGGTCGCTTTCCATTTCGGTGGATTCAGGTGGCCCCTTGCTCGTTTGCCACCTTATATTATAAAAAAATAAACTTTGAAATCGTATTTAAAATGTGTTAATATAATTAAAACTATTGATATTCTAATAACGGATGAAACCTATATTTTAAAACATATGTTCTGTATTAAATTTAATTTGATTCAACAATATGTTACTTCTCATAGTTAAGGCAAACTGACTGCCGCTATTTGTCTTGACATTTTAATATAATGCTAGACTTGAGCCAGATATCGATTTAACATATTTGGGACAGAAGCTTTATCCTTATTATGACTCGGACAAACTTAAAAATGGAAAATTATATTCAAAATCTAGTCTACACAACTGTTGTGCGATTGTCGATTGTTTTGCAGCCAATTCAGCTGTTTACACTAAAAAACGAATAGAATGCGCACCTCCATATAAGCTCATAGGAATCAAAGCGGGACTAAACAGTTGTGCGATAGTTTAGTTTCAGATACTGCTGCAAGATATTGCATGTATAAAGAGAGGATTATATTGCATACGACGTGTCGGATCGTGTTTTCTTGTCGAACAAGAAGTGAGTGCTTACATCGCGTTTACAGCTAAAGCCCATAGTTTATTACTTACTCGGCTATAACAATGACTTACTATTTATACTTATTTACCTCAATGTACTCGTAATATTATGAATGCGGAGGTTTAGATGAACGGATGGATGTTTGTTAGATTTTGTAGCCTAAACGGCTGATCGGATTTCGATTAAATTTGGTATAGACGTAGAGGATATGAAAGTCTGGAATAACACACAGGCTATTCACTTTTTTTTAATACTACACTGACGTAGTCGCGGGCGAAAGCTAGTTTATCTATGTAATAATATAACTAACTTAACTTCATTATCATCTTCTTAACGTTCACTTGAACAAGCTGAAAATAAAACTTCAAAGTGGAAAATTGTTAAGGTTTGAACGCTCCTTTTAACGCTGTAATAGTGAGCAAATATTGGACGTAAAAGCTTTTATCGGGACTGTAATGGGTTATTAGGTATTAATTGCAATAAGAGCCTTAAAAGTAAACAACGCGTTCTTATAATATTCATGCTGTTTTAAATATATTTTACTAGTAATAAATATATATTCTTTTAATATAGATGATTACAATAATATTTACTAACTTTAATGGACCAATCCCTTACTGTGTAAAGATTTAAGGGTAAATGCAAAATTTTGTTTTCTAATACCGTCACCATCATCACCAGCTCACTATATGTCCCCACCGAGGGGCTCGGAGCCTACCCTAAGTAAGAGTGACTAGGCCATAGTCAACCACGCTGCACTGTTGGTTGACTTCACACATATCTTTGAATTTCTCCGTTATGTGCAGGTTGCATCACGATGTTTTTCTTCAACGTAAGAACGTCGGGTAAATTATGTATTTATGAAAATTTTCTAATACGTTGAAGGTTATTTAGGAGACAATATGCGAAAACTACATATTGTAATATATTGAATTTTGTTAATCTATAATTTAACTAGTCATATAAATTTCACAAATGGTAAGAACAAATGATAGCGAAAATCATTACACGATAATTTCGTCTCCTACATTTAAAAAGAGCGTCGGTGGCTCAGTGGTTTAAGCACTTGACTTGAAATCTACAGGTCTTGGGTTCGAATCCCGCTGTACCCATGTGATTCTTCGAATTTTCATATGTACATAATTTACCCATCATTCTTACGGTGAAGGAAAACATCGTGATGCCTTCACATATCGGCGAAGAAATTCAAAGATATGTGTGAAGTCAACCCACCCGCAGTGCAGCGTGGTTGACTGTGGCCTAGTCACACTAACTTAGAGTAGGCTCCGAGTCTCTCAGTGGGGACGAATAGTGAGAAGGTAATGAATGATGAATTAAAAATACAAGCACGAATTTCTATTTTCAATTTTAGCTAATTACTTTCTGATTTAAGTAGAGATGGTCTTTTAACAGATACCATTAGCATCCCCTCGAGCTACAAAAACCGATTCCGTTCTATTGTCGAGTAATAATTAATGTTCCCCGACTGCGGGGCCTAAAAAAGAAAAGAAAAATCAAAGAAAATAGGTCGGAACGTTACGAATAAAAATGTAAGAAAACTGCAGAATTAATTTGTATACGAGTTTTGTATAACGCATACTCGTGAACAAAATAATGTAATTTTTAATATTTAGGATATTACAATACATTACGTTACTTATTCGTTTTTTTTAACTACTAATTAATTTTATCTTATTAACTTAACATTAATCATTTAATCAAGTAAACTAACTCGCACTTGGACAGCGTGGTTGACTATGACCTAGTCACTCCTAACTTAGGGTATACTCCGAGTCCTTCAGTGGGGATGTATAGTGAGCTGGTGATGATGATTATGATGGTTTAATCAAAAATTCTTTGAGTAGTTTATATGCTTTCGAAAGATATTTGTAATGGGGTTATTATTTAATCGTAAAATAATTCTTAACAAGTAGAATCTCTATATGTTTTATTTAGATTGAAAAATAGGAACAGTCGGAATACATTATGAATTTAACAAATATTTTAAAACATGATTAGATGATGTGTTTACAAGGACGTAGTCTCTTTCATTTTGGTTTGAATTATCTTCAGTAGCTCTAATTACAATGACGATATGCTTTACCTTAATAAGAGATAATTAATTTTTACACCATCAATCTTTTCCCTACATGGGTCGGTAGCATTCTGCTATAAATTTTTCTGGTAAAATTAACGAGTAATTTTCAAATCTATCGAAAAAATAAAACTTATGTAAGAAGACCGGTTTATACGAATATGGATTATTATAGTATAAGTTGATGATAAAGCGTCTATCGTAATTCGCCAAAATAGCGAACCAACCGTTGCCCATAGACATCCGGAGAGACAATTTTAATTTATTTTATCGATTGAACTGTGTTTAAAAAGAATATTTGAAGACAGGACACAGGAAATTTCACAAATAGATTACTATATTGACTATTGACTTAATTATTCAAAACATATCTTATTTATTAAGTTTATTTGTGACTTATATGTGAAATCTGACATCATTTTTAATTCTATTACTTTGTATTCTTACCTGTCCATGGTTGATAAAGCCATGTTTATGGGCTAAATCATCCGCATACTGCGACCCATCTGGTATATGCAAAGCGAACTGATCGTGGTACAGAGGTAAACACAAGTTCAGCACTGTCAACAATACAACCACGACGAAAGACCGCATCACGATGGTCGCGCATTGCACGATCCTTACTCTATTATGAATAAACTTTCATTTGTCAACTAAAAAAGTATTTTTTAATATTTTATAACTCGTTTAACTATAGTTTACTAGGATAGGTACATTTGTTTTTTTTTAATATCACGCGCGTAATTTTATTTGAATGATCGTGTGTTCGTATACCTTTAGTTAGACGTCCTTCGATGGGGACGTCTACGCGAAGACTGAACCTCGTGACTGATAGTCTCTCCACTTTTATGTTCCGCGCATGCGTTTAAGTTGGCGCCCTTTCTTTAGCCTACTTGCTATCAAAACGTATTGTGTCCACGCCATCAATTGTCCCGCATACTTAATTGGACATTGACATACCTGTCTATTGTTAAATAGTACATTTTATTGAAAATTATTTAATAACTGTTTATTTACATTTTTATTGATAGATTAAAATGTTTAATTGCATTGGAGATATTGTATCTTTGTTACACATTTCATTGTCTACTACATACTAGTTGAATTCAGTAAATACTTGCATTTTTATATTTACTTACAAAACCATTAATTATGCTAAAATGTTTTGTTTTCTAATAATTCACAAAACTCTTTTCATTCACTTGTTATTAAAATTATTTATTAAAGTATATTTAAAAAGGTTATAAACTTTATTTAGTTTGATTCATACCGAGTTAATTACGTACTAGATGAACCAAACGAGACTAGTAACGCCATCTATCGGCAGGAAAGAGCATACTTAACTATTTTAACTATTTTTTTTTTTGTTATATCTCTGTTATGGCTTACAATTTTATAATCTAGCTTAGCAATTATAAACGTAAAGTTTTATTTCTTTCATTAAATATCTACTAAAACTCTCTTTTAATATCAATGCTATTAAAATATAAAAATGTATAATAAAGTCCTTGCTGAATATTTCTATGAAGAAAAATTTTCAAAACCGTGATCCGTGGCGTGCTAACGAGCTACGGAGTATGGGGAGCAATGGGCATGTGTGAATGCGCCACCATTTATATAGACCCGGCACTTCACACGAATAAGTTAAAACTTATTCCGTGCCTCAAAGTTAAAACAAACATAAGGCATTTGAATTTCCAACACCACTTAGATTTGAATTTATTCAAAACACATTTCTATGTATGTTTACAAATTCGTGTATACAATTTTTTAGATTCGTGTAAGAGCTTTTGACGTTAACGAAATTTCTCCCAACATATAATATATTCAAGTAAGAAAAAAGCTGTAAAATTACATAACTTTTATGTATCATTTTTTCAACCTCTGTATGAATGATATTCATACGCTAAATAAAATAAACAAACATATTTTTTCAACAAACATTTATTAATTCATTGGAAAACTTTTTTAGTCTTTTAAGCGCGCACTATGACTAAACTATCGCAAAACTGTTGTGCGATTGTCGATTGTTTCGCAGCCAATTCAATTGTTTATTTGCACAACTAAAAATCGAGTAGTGTGCTCACCTCCATATACCTAAGGTCGTAGGAATCAAAACGAGACTAAACGGTTGTCAATATTCAAAATTTAGACAACTATGTTTGGATTGTAATTATTTTAATAAGAATGCGATATCTTTGTACAATTCGCACATTTATCTATTTGAACAGACTTATACTTGTAGTTATAACTTAGTTTAATTACATAATACTTGATTTAAAATCTTATTTAATTGAATTCAAGCTCTTTGTTCTCGACATACATCTTAAGGTAAACGATGCTTTAATGCGATCGTGAACACAATAGACCGATGAGAATGGCATTTTAATGAATTGTGATAGAGCCTTTCTCATTTCACTAAAGAAATCCTTTTCAATGAAGCACCTATCTTGAAAAGATGACTTTATAGGAGAGTGAGTATTGTTGGTCTGAATAAAAACCATTACCGGGAATATTTCAAAGAAATTTCATCCTTAGGGTTTCATCGGAAAAAAAACTGTATACAATTCTCGAATTATAATAAAACTAGCTAGCTACGTCGTCCACGTGAAATCATGATTGTAAATGTAGCCTATGTTATTCAGCGCTAACGTAGCTTTATGGTGAAAACATTTTTGAAATGGGTCCATTAGTTTTTGAATTACATCAATATATACAAAATACAAATCTTTCCTCTTTGTAATATTAGTATAGGCTAGTTTTTGGTCGCGACTTCGCGTGATATTAATAAAATTATGATAATCGTAGCCTATGTTACTCGGTGATAACATAGCTTTTTAATGGTGAAATGTTTTTTGTAACCAGCTCAGTAGTTTTTGAGCTGTTTCGATACATACATATAAGTCTTCCCTCTTTATAATATTAGTATTGATTGAGTAATTAATTAACAAAATAGGTTGGATTAAGGGCCCGAAACAAAAGGCGGTTATTTTAGAAACCGCACGCATAGTGAGGAGGTTCCTGTCTCTGCAGCCCTGACCACTGCTAGCTTGAGTCATCGGATTTCGCAGCCGGTGGACTTCTATTTTTTTACATAAGTTTTATTTTTTTTTTAAATGTAAAAAGTCATGTAAAACACTATAAGTAAAAATAAGAATTTAAAGATATATGGAGTTAACAAAATAGAAAGACAAAGCAATATTTAATAAAACAGCCTGAGTTTGATATAATTTTAAGTTATTAACGTACCCTTCCGAAGCTAAGCAGAAAGAAAAATAAAAAAAAATATGCTATACGTCAAGATTGGTTAATTGAAGTTTTAACTAATCAATATGTCTAAAGAAACAACCTGTTCATGTATTTTATTCCAAGTTAAGATTAACGATCGGTGTTGGTTCTAAAAGAATTTTATTGGCCCATAAAATGTTTGTACTAAATCCCGCCGTTAAATCCACGGGCCACGTTTAAATTGACCAGGCGATGAAAGTCCTACATTCGGTTACTAGACCCATAAAATTAGTACAAGACATTTTATGAAGACGTAAATAGTTGCCAACGTTAATTTATTTGCTTCTCGTATAAAACCTCTGTACTTTTATCTCATTGAAGTCGAATGAAATGGCAACAAATAAGTCGAGCGGTTTTATATCTTTAAGATGGTATAAAAATTTTCATTTCCACTTCAAATTTCCTAAACATTACTAAAGTAGCATTCCCGAATAAGAATGCATTACTGCGTAAAAAGGAAAACGTAGGTTAGTTATATCATATTTTATACATTTATCGGAGACCCAACGTTTTTTTTCCTTCCCATACTTTTTCTCTCACTAGAACAAAATGGAAAGGGAACGTGGATTTGACGGTGGAGGAGATGCATAGGAAGGGGAAATATCCTATTAATGTGCGCCTTCTCCTCCATCGATTAAGGGTAGTGTGTGTGCAGCGCAGCGGTCGCTTCGCCATTCTGGCGGATTCAGGTGGCCGCTTGCTCGTTTACCACCTTATGATTTAAAAAAAAATAGCGAGTTGTGGCAAAAATATGACGGACGATTTTATTAGAGTTATAATGTAGTGATGGTTGATTTTAGTCTAATAATTTATTTGAGCGTACAAAGCCGCGAGCACAAACTAGTTTCAATACAAAATAAAGTCCTTAACAGCACGAATCGATTGATATATATTATGATTATCTTAGTATTGTTAAATAATTTATTCAAACCGATATCTACTTTAGAGCCTTTTCATATTTCGCCGTAGGCTTTACCACATGCAGTAAGTGATAAGGATTCCGCGGCTTGAATAAGCGATTATTTATAGTTGAATGGATTGTATTGTTCCCTTTGACGCCTTTTATTGGCATTGAGGAAATTACTTTCTAAACGAATCAAGGAAACGTCTTTAAAAATGTCCTTAATAATGTTATTTCTATACTAATATTATAAAAAGGAAATATTTCATTTTTGGATTTTTGTATGTATTGAAATAACTCGACAACTACTGGGCCGATTTCAAAAATTCTTTCACTATGCTACGTAACCACTGAGTAACTGCACTACCACTGTAGTTTAACAGTGGTAGTGCCCGCTTTAACATCTTAGCACGAATGGGCCGGCACGCCCGGTGTAATACCACGACCACACAGAAGACAGGCGTGAAATGGAAGCAATTCTGTGTTTCGTCTGATGAGTGTGGTGCCGGAGGCCTAATTTAAATCCCTTTCTCTTTACCACCCTTTTCTTTTAAGGAGAGGTTGGGAAGAGGAAGTGGATTTGATGGTGAAGGAGATGCATAGGAACGGGAAATATCCTCTTTATGTGCGTCTCCTCCTCCGTCGTATAAGGGTAGGCAACGCATCTGCAATTGCGGATGTCTATGGGCAGCGGTCGCTTCGCCATTTTGGCGATTTCAGGTGGCCGCTTGCTCGTTTGCCACCTTATGTTATAAAAAAAAAAGTAACATAGGCTACATTTTCACGCAGACAAAGTCGCGAGCAACAGCTAGTAACTAGTATCAATGATCATATTATTTTTAATTTTTATTATTTAACGAAATCGATAGTAACTTAGAGGCATCGTGCATCATGCATCAACATTCCCTGTGCATTTCCCCTAGGCTATACATTAGCTGTACGAACCCCGCCGGGTGTCTGATCTTGTTAATTCCAAATTGGAATATTGGCCAATAAACGTACTCTCTACTACTCTTAGCACTTGTGTAGGGAATTTAGTAAAATGTAGTAAATGCCCATAAATGGAGCTGAATTACCTGAGGTAAATTCAAAATTTCTTTGTTTCAGTTTTGAATAAGTCTCAAAATTAATTGTTTTACTTATATGGTAATAATAATTTTCGAGACCAATACCAATTATGGACATTTTTTAAGAAATTTATAGATTCATGAAATTATTTAGTTTATTTGATAAAATTAAGTAAAATAAAGCGACATGTAAATTTTATTGTTTATTCAATAAATGTATACTATTAAAATTGTACAGTCGACTGCACAAGTGTGTAGTACATATAAAAAAACTTTAATAACATCTAAATGACTTCTAAATGGTAATATTGGTCGGAAGCACACAAATAGACACACGCTTTTTTATT